AAAATAAGCAGACAAGATGAACGCGTTGCAAAAGAATAGATGGAGAACTATAGTAAAATAAAACTCATATAACTTAACTGTAATTTTCTGGGGCTTTTGAAGAGCTTTACAGCGGGGAAAAATGCTTATTGTTGTAAAGCATAATTATTATTGAATTCTATTTTAGCGTAAAGCATGGCCAGAAAATTATCATACTTGGTGCAAATGTAAATGTGATAGTACAATTTTTGCAAATCATTATGGAATTTATTTGTTGGTGCGTGGAAGTAATTTCTCCTGGGTTACTGAGTTAGGTACTGTTAATATAAAATATGCATATACCTACCTTGTTACTGCAAAATTAACTTTAAAGTGTTTTACTCTGATATTACTAGTTTTGCCTAGAAGGTTTTACTGGGAAATAATGAACACATGTTAGTGTACTACTTCTAGAGGTTTTCTTTTCTATTTTGTTTGGTGAAAGTTTGTGTTACAAATCAGAAAGTTATTCTCTAAAAACTTTGTGTACAGTTTTTAAATCCAGATTTTTTTTTCTAATAGCATGACTGAAATGTAAAATCTAATATATGGAACTACAAAGTTTTTCTCAAAAATTTAAAAATTATAAATTTGACTTTTGTTTGCAGAGACCAAATTAACATTTTCTTTCATTAAGAAATCTATCATCTATACGAACATGCAAAAAAATCATGTTTTCATCAGACAAATCAGCATTCTGTATTCACAAATTTGAAGTTTGAAATGCATAGACACTGCATTACATTTTAAAATCCAAAACCAGTAGATTAATTTTTTCTTTAAAAATAAGTTGATAAATAACTGGTTAGTTACTTTTCCTGCCTTTAAAAAAGGTGAAGAATATAAAATATTCTCTTTTATGCTCTTTTTATTTTTAACAGCCCTCAGGAATAATGTGTCTCTAATCTTCCTACTTGGAGGGCTTTATGTTTTATGTTTGTTTGCAAACACATAATGAAAGAGTGCAATTATAAAGCTTAACTTCATTGTAATTTTGTATCTTAGATTTTGCTCCATAGAGACGCTGAAGTCTCAGTTATCCCCATTTCAGTGCAGTAAATCAATATATTTTCCATTCAGAAAACAAATTCTTGCTTTTTAGTTGGTATTTTTATTGATCATTAGTCATTAATATTTCATAATTTTGTAGTGCAGTGTAAGTGGTAGATATTGTTATGTTTTTTGAATAAAAATTACGAATGTACTTATAAAATACTTTCACTTATATGAAAGAAAAAGAACTCTAAACATCGTGGAACACTTTCAGTTTATGAAGAAAACACTGCTCTTGTAAAAATAGCTTTATTTCTCAGTAGATTGTGCTGTGTGTTTTAAAACTTTAGAAGTGAAACAGGGCTGTTTTGTTTTGTCTTATGCATTTGTTGGTTTTTGGATTTTTTTAAGCAAAGATTTAATTCATATAAAGTAAGCACTTTGTTCTATATATTCTAAATTCCTGCAATGAGATAAATAAATTGCTGGATTGGATGGAACATAATTATTGAATTTTGGCAGAACTTCAGTGAACTCTGCCATGAAAGATTAATGTGCGCAGTGCGCTCTTAGATTCTAAAGTAACAGAGTAAGATAAGGGGAGTGCATAACAGGCTCCAACCTTTGTGGTTTAGAGAAAATAGAAAACCATGGGCAAATGTTAACTTTTGGTATAAACTGCTAATGATAATGTTTTGTCATCTGGGTGATAAAAACTACAGGAGTAGACAAGAAAATCCAATTTAACACAAATTCTCTCCGCTTTTTTCTTGCTCTGCTTCCCATTTTTCAGAATTAGAATAGCCACAGTTGTTCTATGTTCATAGGAAAAGGAGAACAGAGCAGGCAGGGTACTTACAGTATCCAGTAATGCAATGTCCTGATGGAATCCCTCCATATCTGCATGTGTCGTATGTGGGTTTTTACTGCCGTCACGATTTTGGTTTGTGATTATGGTGCATTGATTTCAGAATACAAGTAAAATTGTACTGGCTGGATGAAGGCTATATGGAATCATAATAGAGGTTGTTATTATTCCCTCTCTCTCCTGTCTCTACCAAACCTTGATTGTTTAAAACATTTGCTTCAATTGAAAATTTGTGGTTATAATCACAAAATCTTATTCCTCTTGGCTTTTAAATGATTATTGCACCCAAATAATGTTTTTAATCAAGAACAAAGATGTATTGTCCTGCCAGTCAGGCTCCCTTGGCAGGACCAATAGGATTGCAAAAACTTTTTAGCATTTTCAGTCAGTTTGCTTCTGGGGACAACAGGCATGACATCCACCCTGCTCTGGGGAAAGTGCTGCCGCTTTGCCGACTGCTCCCTGCTCCTGGGAGCAATCCCTCTGCGTGCTCAGCCTCTCCAGCACCCTGAACCTGAGCCCACATGTTTTCTCTTCCTCAGATATGTGCAGCAGCAAGCACCAGCCCCCGGAGCTGGTTTCCAGGAGGGCTCAGGGATTGGCAGCACGATGGGCAGGCTCCAGCACGGCTGCAGACACAGGGGCTGCTTGACTGGCTGGGCATGGGGATGTGGCTCAGTGCACCCAAAAAGCCTGGAATCAGAGGGAGTGAGACAGGGAGGATGCATGGTAGCATTTTTTTCCCTCTGTTTGCTCCTTGCTTCCAGACTGTCAACCTGCTGCTAAGACTGTGTGCTCGGCTCAGTGTTTTAAAATGGCAGGTATCCAGAATCTTAGATATATTTCATGACTTCAAAGACATTTCTTCTCTCCTTTGCAGCCACATCCTTAAGCTCATGTTGACAGCGTTATGAGTGGGATAGTTAAAGAGGTATAAGGGCAAGGGACTGATCCAGTGCCCATTGCAGTCAGCAGACAGAATCCCCCTGACTACGTGTCTTTGGATCCCACACTGTGACTGGCTGCTCTTCTCCCTTAGTTCCTGATGGCACTAGCATGACTAGCATTGCCATCCTACACAAGCAGCTTCCTTGTCTTTATTGGCACTCCTCTTAGAGGAAGGTTTACTGAGTAAAAGGCTTGAATGTGCCTTCCTTGTGTTGTAAAGAAGCAGAGTCTGAGTGCTTATTTTGGCTATTTACGGTCCTTTCACTTGTCTTTCTCCCCTTCTGGAAATGACTCTTGTTCCTGACTTTGATTTATCAGTTCATATCACCATTTCAAGTGGAGTTCAGTATGTGCAGCTACATGTCTGTATCCCCATTAAAATGCTGTATTTGTGTATGTCCATGATGAAATGAATTTATATTCTAGGCCTATTGTTCTGATAATCAGGCACACTTTTCTTTCAACAAGGTTGATTCCAAGATACCTTCATCTTCAAACAAAAAAAGGATACTTTTATCTTTTTTACAGAACTGTAGAATGCTTCAATCTTTGTTTGCCGTATAAATGTGTTTAGTTGGAAAACCTTTAAAAAGTTGTATTCAGAATGTATCTGTACTTTAAAGTAGACAAAAGATCCTTTTTTCTTTTAAGTAATTCACAGAAAATGAGCACTGCTTTTAGCAATGTAAAAATGTACCACAGATAACTAAAGAATAGTAGTAGGAATATTGTGCCTTCTTTGCACGGCTAATAATTTGCAGTGTGAAATCAAGATATGCTTTCACAGCAGTGGTGTTATGGACTGTTAAAGTACTCAATCTTAGAATACGATAGATTTTTTTGCAAAAGTTGTATATAGGACCCAATGAACATCCCCTATATAACTTTAATGCCTAATAGTGGGCTGAATATTGGAATGCCTACCAGGTGTCGCGTGTGAGGCTCTGGGATGCCCAGACAAAAAGGTGCCTTAAAGCCAAGCCTGCTGTTCCCTCTCTGCTGGCCCAGGGAGCCCTGCCTGCCGCAGGAGCAGCAGCTCCCAGGGGTGCTGAGCTGGGGGCCCCGGGCCCCGGAGCAGCTGCGCAGAGCAAGGTGGGAGGGAGAGCAGAGCGAGGGCAGGAGCCAAGGCAAGGCACTTGTGACTGCACAGAGCATTTGTTCTGCCCGGTGGAGAGGGAGCAAGCGGCTGGTTTGGGATCTGAGCTCTGCTCTGAGCCCTTCTCATAGCGGGGCAGTGTCTTTCAGCTGCCATCCCAAAGCCCTCAGCAGAGTGTGGAGAAGTTTTGTGGGCAGAGCGCTGGGAGAAGGCTCGGTCTGGTGAGGGATCTTCTGGGGCTTCATGAGTTGCAGCAAAATTTAACACCTAAATTATATGCAGAAAATATGAGACAGGTGGATGTGGGTTCTTAGGTCTATAACTATGTGGAAACCTTTCTTTCAAGCATGCTAATGAATTATTAAGCAGTATAAATTATATTGAAGGGATGTTTGGGTGCTTTTTAAGTCACATTCACATTGTGCAGGTCAGCAGAGCAAATTATCCTAAAACATAATCCATAAAATGACGTACCTTGTGTTTTACAAATTTGCACATCCTGGTGTCCATTTCTGAGGAGTGCATCCCTGGGCATGCCACGTCTCCCAAGCATTACAAAAGCTTGACCTTTCCCTTCCACTGGGACATACAAAATCTTGCACGTCAACATTACAACCTTCCAAAATATTGAAAGAGTGTTGTGAACAAGGGGAGTTTTGCAGACATCTGAAACCTTTTTTTTTAATTGTGAGAAATGAGGAACATTGATGTAAAAAAAGCTGTTATACTTGGGCGGGGAAAGAGGGAGTAGGGAAGAAAGGTTTAGGTTTAGAAAACCCAACCAAGTCATGTAATTCACAATGTTTGCAACCTATGAAAATATTGATTACAGAAATGAAATTGTGTTATGCTGGCAGATCACAGCTGAAATTGCTTTTTGTGGTCTCAGAGCATGGCAGAAGCAGCAAAGTATTTTACTAAAATACAGCTGCATTAATAGTAGGAAAGAAACAAGTACTGGAAAGGAATTCCAAATACTTACAAGGTATCTCATTTGGGGACATGCATTTGTTTGGTAAATTCCAATTCCCAGACTGGCAATAATGATTGTTACTGTATACCCTTTATGACTTTCAGAGCAAGAGAAGCCAACTTGAGGAGCACGCATATTGTGATACCCTCAGTGGTAAGTACCCTAACTGCAATCAAGTTTATTACATTTTTGTAGAGTGGAGGCCTTTTCAAGACCACACTTGATGCAGCTTAGTCACACAACAGCTTCAAATGGCATTCTGGAATAATAGGGCAGTAATTTGATACAGTCCATAATGAAAATCAGTGTACAGCACAGGTGGTTGCAAGCGTTTGTGTGGTCAGATATAAAACCTTTGCTATGGGTACAAGCTACTGCTTTCCCACTTGAGGAAAGTATAATTAAAAGTGGTTTCCAGATGTGCTGGCACACATCTGCTGTTTTTAAAACACAAATACAAAGTGAGCTGCATTGCATTCATCGTTATAAAGCCGTTGATGGTTTTTCAGGTAATAAAAAGATTGGAGGCATCAACACTCCCACTGTAAATCTGAGGGGTCTTTAGACAACAGCATTTTGTGTTCACTTTGTGTTCTTAGGATTTTCCGTGAGTAGTTCATAGCTGAGCTGTGGTAAATATGCAAAATTTTTCTGGACAAAAATTAGCACTTATTTAATGAAAACATTACAGTTGATTCCTTGCTAGTGATTTCATTTTTTACCAGATAGATGTAGCAAATTTGTATGGTTTTCCTTGTTTGTTTGTTTTCAGTGCAGTGAATAAATGATATTGTAAAACATTGGGATTCAGTTTCTTTAAACAAATTTTCAAGATGTGGTAATAATCACGAAACTAGAAAAATATGATATATTGAAAATAGACCTTTAATTTCACTTCACCCAGAAAACATGAAAAACTCTACTTATAGGCTTCCATGATGCATCCTTAGTTGAACTACTGGGAAGAAAATAAATCAGAAAATAATTAGAAAAGGTGATAGGCTTTAAAATATTACTGAGAGAAGATTACAGATCTTTTGTTTTAGCTAAATAAACCTGTTCATAATAGCCCACTGATTTTCACAAAGTTAGTATTTCCTCTGGAAATGCTGTTATTAAAATAAAATCCCTTTTTCAGAAGTAAGTTTTTGCAGTTCCAGAAGTTTTAGTTACTGCTGCTACCTGAAATAAACATAAGGGAATGTTGTGCCTGCCACCTTCTTACTCTCTTCTAGCATTGCAGAGGTACTCATAATTTATGACTTTGAGTGGGTTTTGAAAAAAAATTAAGGCTGTGATCTACTAGTCTGAGGATCTTGGACTATTGGCCATGCTGCTAAATTATGAGAGAAGGTTTTTAAAGATGTCCTGTGTAATATTGTACACCTTTGCACATATTTTCTTTACTTACTTCCACAGATGTGACTTGTAGGCTGCCTTTTCTAGTGAGAGTCAAATCCTTATCAATTTGCTTAGGGAAATACTGATACTGAGTAAATCAAATGGATTTCTGGATTTTTCCTCTTAGTTGGACTCTTTCATACAGCATTTGCTTTTTTCATTTAGGTCTTTCTTTCTTGACTAAGCAGAATCTAAAATCTCATTTTAAGTGTGCAAATGTCAGAATAATTTGCAGAAGATTTAGTCAGAAAAATGGTCGCTGAGATCAAATAATTTTTAATGTAAAACTTAACATATTGTCTGTACTTAAGTTTTTGGATTAGCTTTTCTGTCTGACAGCTTTTAAGTTCTTACAAAGGCATTGATGGATTCAGTGAGGGATGCAAAATCAACCTGGGTAGCAAACTGCCCAGTGTGTTTGATTTTTCTGGAATAACATAATAACTTACTGTGGCCCTGGTGCTGCTAAACAAGAGTGCTCTGGCTTTAACAATTTCATGCCTCTGAGACAAAGGGTCCAGATCAGCTCATTGCAGCTGGCCTGTGAATGGGGACTTCTTGAGGATGCAATGAAATGGATGACAATCAATAAGAAGGATATTAATAACATCATAGTGAAAATGCTGATTTCATCAATACTGCTAGTACATCTGACCTTTTCCTTTTAATGCATATAGATTGTGATAGCTATGGTATATTATAAATGTTCTATTGTGGCATAAAGACTTCAAGTTTGTGCTTCCAGTGACAGTTTTACAAGGATATATTTACTAACACATACACATACATTTAATATTAAACCACTTTTAAATCACTGCTTGCCCAGGAGGTAGGATTTTAGCACTGAACTGTTGTGTTTGGGTATTTTTCTGGCAAAATGCCATTTGACATGAAACCCAGAAAGGTCTAAAAGAATACAGACATTCAGATGTGAAAATGTGCAAAATGAACACTACCTGGCACTTAAATTACACTCCACTGCAATTAAGACTTGTTAATAGTCACTCCTCTGAGCTGGCTGCTCACATCAGAGACCAGCCCTGGCCAGACGCTCACAGTTTTGTACATAACCATTTTGTATAAAGGGCCAGTTTCTATAGAAGGTCAGGTGCGTTAGACAAAAGTAGTTTATTGGAAAAAAAGAGATTATTTAAATGCTGGGGAGGTTGCATCCTTGGAAACTGCAGAATTTTGAGTACTTTCTGATTATTCACATTCCTATTATTTGGAAAGTAAAATAGCATTTTACTCCCCCTGAGTGGGGGAGATGTGGAAGAGTGTTTTGGGGCTGTGCATCAAGGGGCATGGAAAGGGCACAAGGGGCATGAAAACGGCTGTTAATTAAATGGCAAAGATTCTGCTCTAACCCACAGATGCAGGAGACAACCCAGCGAAGGTGTATCACCCCTCAAGGGCAGCAAACCTGTCCAGTGTAGCTCAAAGAGATGAGGCACTGCTTCTCTGGGCTATAAACCTCTCCCAGACATTCAGTACAATTCTATAAGAGGCCAGGGAGTTGGTGACTGAGAGTGGAGAATCTTTTAAATATATATCATACCATTGCTACTATATACTGCAAATTTGGCAAGGATTTCTTTTTCTGAACATCTAATCCTGTTTTTTAGGTAGTATTCCAGATTCAACAACTGCAGTGCTCCCTATTTCACTCAGAAAGAGAACTGAGTGTCCCTGCTTGACACTGCATTTTATCTCTATTTAGAACTTTTTTTTTTTGTCTTGGGCTTTGAACCGTTGATGTTAATATTTTCTTGTAAATCCGGAGCACTGATTGCCAACACTGTCTGTGTCTTCACAATCAGTTGCCATAAGAATATGGTCTATAATATTAGAAGTCTTGGCTAAGGCCTTGGGAAGACTAAGCCACAGGAAAAAAAAATAATACTCTTTAATATTAAGACTGATTTTTAAGAAGTATGTCCCTAGGACGAAAAAATTCAGGGTGGAAAAGGACACATTCAAAATATTGCTAAAAAAATCTTCAGATTTTTTGATGAAATTACTTTACAGAACTTGAAGGCAGATCAAAAGTAATTATCATGTGTGTCAGGATTTTTTTTTAAGTTTCATAACTTTCTGATTTCTGAAATAGAAAGAAGATAAACTATCATTTATATGATATGATATTAAACTATCCCCTCTTATAAATAAAAGTCAAGGGGAAGGTGTATCAGATCAAGTTACATATTTGCTTTCATAATATGTTGAAATATTTCATTTTGTCATATTTTCCTACATCTGTATTACTCTTTAGGAGAAAAAAAACCCAAAAAGATACGTTTTGAACTTTAAACCAGAACTTTTTAATTCAGAAAATATTTAAATAGAATATTTAAACAATTTCAAAACCCTCCTTGCTTTTTTAAATAACAAGTAAATTGACATATTTCCTTACAAATAACTTTATTTTTAAAGGAATAACCTTTTTTGAAGGCAAAATTGTCAAAAATATTTCCTGCTTATTCTATCATGTGACAAATTTGCTCTTCTTCAATTGTGCTTGTGATTTTGTATGATGTGAAACATTAATGAATTGTCAGTTTAATCATATTTTCCTACATCTGTATTACTCTTTAGGAGAAAAAAAACCCAAAAAGATACGTTTTGAACTTTAAACCAGAACTTTTTAATTCAGAAAATATTTAAATAGAATATTTAAACAATTTCAAAACCCTCCTTGCTTTTTTAAATAACAAGTAAATTGACATATTTCCTTACAAATAACTTTATTTTTAAAGGAATAACCTTTTTTGAAGGCAAAATTGTCAAAAATATTTCCTGCTTTTTCTATCATGTGACAAACGTATATTTTGCACTTCTTCAGTTGTGCTTGTGATTTTGTACGATGTGAAACATTAACGAATTGTCAGTTTACGCTGTGAGTTTTCATGTTCATTCTTAGAAAATGAAGTACATGATAAGGAAAACCTAGTTTCAAGGGCTTTGGCTGTGGATAAGCCTCATATGCTCATGGAAATAAGACCACTGAAACCCTCAGAAGTGGTGTACTTAGTGATTTACTTGGGGTCAGCATGTGTTATACCACTATAAATATATTATATGAGACCAGCACCCAGATAGTTACACTGAAAATAATCATGAATACAGCCGTGTTCTGCAGGGAGGCCCCATACCCTGCAGTCCAGCTGGGTGGCTCTGATCACTTGCCTTCTCCCAAGCCTTCCATTAAACTGGGCTAAAATCCCTTGGTATTTTGCTGCTTCCTAACATCATCCTGTTGAAATGTTTCAGTGTTTCTTAAGGAAGGCTTAAAGACACAGCTCTTAGTAGGGCTGTCATTCAAAGTGATAATACCCTGCTTTTTGCAGGTCTTGTGAAGGAATATCTGCTTTCAGCCAGAAATGTGAGCACTGTGACTTCTATTCTTGTGCAGGGTCATCACTTGTGGCAGTAGCACTGAAGACAAATATATCCCCTCCTCTCCTGTCTTGCATAATTATTTCTGTTGTTTTCTAATCGAGTGCTTCAGATTTGAGGTTGTTTCTGATCAGTGCTGGTTCAACTACTAGATGTACAGAAAAGCAAATATGTTCCAAATATTATTTTGCCTTTCTGTGAGGCAACTAGGAGAGGCTTTTATTTTGAGCTATTCAGCCTCTTATAGAACTTCCTTCCAAGTCCAGGTGATTAAAGGGATATTGTATATCTCTGAGCAAAGATCTTTAGCTGTTCAGGGGCAGAACATGAGTTTCTCTCTCTGTCAGTAGCTCAGT